GGGGGAGCCTCGCCACCCCAGGCTGGGCGCGATAATCGGCCTATCTGGCCGGTCAGGCGTCGGGGTCACATGCTCTCGGGGAGATCACGCACCTTCAAATCGCGTTCATGCGATGCGACCGCCGGCAACCGGCGCGCCTCCCCCCCGGCGGCCTGGGGGCGGGCTTGCTTCGTCCGTTGCTGGGCCGGGAAGCTGGCGGGGCCCGGGGGACCGTTAGATGCCCTGGCCCGGCGTGCATGTTGTCGCGTTGTGCCCGGGGCCGGTCTATGTCCTGGGGGTGGACACACCCGTACACACCCGTGCGTACACACACACACACACTTCCCGCCTCGCCGGGGCCGGGGAAGGGCCCGGGCGGGCACAGAAGAAGATCTCACCAGGCGCCAGGGCGCGCGTCCAGCCGCGCGGTCTCCCTCACTCCCTCCCTCCCTCCCCCCTCCCCCCTCCCCGCCCCTGCCGCTGTCCCTCTTGCTGCTTCTTCTCTGCCCCCCCCCCCCCGGCACGCGCATACTTGTGTGCTTTCGCAAGCAGTCGGCCGCAGTCTCCCCCCGCCCTCCTTCCTCCTCCTCCTCCCGGGTTTTCTCTTCCCCGTCCTCGGCGCAGGCGATGTCGACGAACTCCGTGGCCGAGTCGGGGCTCGGCCACCGCAAGGACCGGCCGGCCGATGGCTTCCCCGGGTCGGAGCCCCTTGACTCGGCGCCCGGACGGTCGCCCTTCCTGACGGCCAAGCTGACCAATGTCCCGCCGACGGACGCGCCGGCGGTGGATGCGGCCGCCACGACATCCGGCCCACCGGCCGACGCGCCGGCTGCCCCCCGGCTCAAGCGCTTTGTTTTCACCACGCCCGCCAAGGCCACGGCTGAGCCGGCTGCGGCCGCGGCCGCAGCTGCAGCTGCGGCTGCAGCGGCCGCGGCCGCGGCCGCAGCCTCTGTCACTTCCACTGGCGGCGGCAGTGGCGGCGGCGGTGGTGGCTCGCCAGCCGGCTCGTCCGGCGCCTCGTCCGGCGCCTCGTCCGGCATGTCGAGCCCGCACTCGGCGCGGGCGTCCCCCCGGGCGCCTGGCGGCAACCTGCCACCGGCGCCCGAACCGTCGGCCGCCCCCTCCGACAAGGAGCCCGACAGGAGCGAGGCGGCCGAGCAGGAGGAGGACTTCACGCCGGACTTCTCGGCGGACCTCCTTCCGCCGGCCATCCAGGAGCTGGGCCTTGAGCTTGCCGAAACAGCGGCCCTCTCGAGCGGCGGCCTCTGCTCGCTGGACCCGCTGAATGAAGCAGCGCACATTGGTGCGACCGAGTAGTGGGGCTGGCCTTTTTTTTTTCCTTCCCCTGCCCTCCCTCCCTCTTTTTTTCTCTCTCCTTCTCTCTCTCTCTCTCCTTCCCTCCCTCCCTCCCTCCCTCTCTCTTCTCCCCTCTCTCTTCCTCCCTCTCCCTCTCCCTCTCCCTCTCCCTCTCCCTCTCCCTCTACCTCTCCCTCCCTCCTTCCCCCCCTGGGCTGAATGTGCTGACCGCCGTCCTGACTGCCTGTCCGTCCGCCCGTGCCGGACGCGCCCCTGGCCAAATCCGGCCGCCCCGACCAACAGACATGCTGTCCAAACTCAACACCGGCCTGCGGTGCGTAATCTTCGCCCCGGTGCCGGCCACCGCTCTGGACCCCCCGCCGGATGCCAGGATGGAGAGCGCCCTGCGGCGCCTGGGCGGGGACTTCGACCGGCGCGATGCCCACGCGTCGGCCCTGTCTTTCGCCTTCGTGGACCAGCTGCTGGAGGCCCGCGACCGGGTCGAGGCCCGGGGCGACTGCACCCCGGAGGCCCTGTTCGCCTGGGCCGGGCGCCTGTCCACATCGCTGATTGACCTGCTCTGGGTGCTGGATGCGGAGACCGACGCCGGGTGCGCCGGCGGGGCCGGCCCCGATGCCGGCTCGGCTGCCCTGGAACCGGCCCTTCGCCGGCTGCGCTTCTTCCGCCTGGCCCAGGGCCTGCACGCGGCGGTGCTCCTGCTGCCGCATCAGCTTCGCGAGCGCTTTGACCAGGACATGCTGGCGGTGTTGGATGTGGTGCCGGCTTTGCCGGCGACCGAGGCCGACCCGCTGGCCCCGGCCGGCGCCGGCCGGGCCCTGGCCGCGCGCAACTACCTCAAGGAATTCGGCCGCTTCCGCACGCAGCGCCTCTTCCTCCGGTCGAACTTCAACCTCCTGCGCGAGTCGTCGCTCGGGTACTCGGACATGCTGGTGTGGCTGTCGGATTGGCTGGCCGGCATCGGGCTGACCGGCTCGGCGGCCACCTCCGACGCGGGCCCCTTCCCGTTGGATTTGGCCGATGTCGGCCTGTCCCTGGATCCGAGCATGGCGGCCGGCCTGCCGGCCGATGGGCAGGCCGCGGTGGCCGAGCTGCAGGCCGGCGTGGCGGATGCCGCCGAGGCGGCCTTCCGGCGCCTGAGCCAGCTGCTGGGGACCTTCCACCTGGACCCGCACCGGGTGCTGGACCTGCTGCTGGCCTGCATGGAGGCCGTGTGCGAGGGGGCCCTGCGCCTGCAGGCGGGGGCGCTGCAGGCGCGCTTCCGCCGGGACCGGGCCAAGTCCCGTCGTCGGTCGTCGGCCGGGCTGCAGCTGCTGGCCCTGGCCGAGGTGATCCGGCGCTTCAACTTCGGCCTGGACCTGGTGTCCAGTGTGCTGGGGGTGCGCATGCGCCAGGCAGCCGGCCCTGGGGGCGTTGGCTCGGCCCCGGCCCCGGCCCCGGGCGACGGGCGGCTGTATAGCACCCTGCGGGCGGCCCAGCTCCGGCGGGCGCTCCCGCTGGCGGTGCTCCTGCGCGAGGGGATCCTCACCCTGGGCCAGGTGGTCCCGCACCTGGCCCCGAACGATGATGAGGCCGTGCGGGCGGCTCACCGAGCGGCGCTGGCCTCGGCCCCTGGGCGTGCCTCGGCCGCCGGCCTGCCGGATGGCTCCTCTGCCAAGGGGACCCGTCTGGGGCCCAAGGGCGACATCGCCTTCCCGCCGCTGGACGTGCGCCCGGGCTTCGCCTCGCTGGATGTCGGCGGCTGGCCGACCCTCGGCGATGCCAACTGGGTGTGTGCTTCCTTTTCCTTCGCCCCCCCCCCCCCCCCCCCCCCCTGCCTCGGACCTTCGCCACCGCAGTACCTCCTGGCCAGCAGTGGTCGCGGGTGGCTGGTGACTGCCCTGTGCCGGGTGGGCCAGCTGCCGATGGCCATGGCACTGGCCGGCTACCTGTCGCTGCGGACATGCCTCCCGGCGCCGGGCGGCTCGGAGTCGGCGCCCGATGACGGGGCCCCGGCCGAGGGCGGCCTGCACGACACGCGCCTGGGCCTGGCCCACCCGGCGGATGCCGGGGCCACGCCGGTGCCCGTTCGCCAGGCCGGTGGCGATCCCTCCGGCCCCGGCCCGCTGGATGCCCTGCTGGCCCTGGGTCCCGAGGCCGGGGTGGCCGATGTGGCGCGCCTGGCCGCCGGCACGGATGTCGGCCTGGCGCCGGAGATCGCGGCTAATGCCGGCATCGGCGCCTCGGTTCTGGCCTGGTGCCATGTCCTCATTCACTCGGCATATTGCGGGTGCGTGCTCGCCCTGCATCTGCGCCGGCTCCCCCTGCCCCTTGCTTTTTGTGACGGGGCGCGGCCGGCGCAGTATCGGCACTTCCATCGCCGCCGCTCTTGTCATGTCCCAGAGCCCGTGACTAACATCCTCCCCTCCCTCCGGGCGCGCGACTTTGCGTGTCGTTGCCTCCACTGCCACGATTGTTTGCCGTTGTCGGCCCCGCCGCTGGTGGACGCTGCCGGTCACAGCGCCACCGCCCTGCATCCGGCGCGCCTGCAATCGGTCGCCTCGGACGCCGCCCTGTTTGGCGCCACCGCCGAGCAACGCCACGCGGCCCTCCCCCTCGAGCAGGCCCCCCTGGCGACCGAGGACTTGACACGCCTTTTGCGCTCCTGCCTGCCGGCCTACTACCAGGCCGACCAGGAGGTGCTGTCGACGCTGGTGGCCCTGGCCCGGTTTGGCCACCTGGACCGGCGCCTGGTCCGGGTGTGCAAGGAGACCGGGCAAATCCCCGCGGCCGATGCCTGGCCCGAGCTGGCCTCCCAGCTGGGCCTGGTGGCCGAGGTGGTGCTGCCGGTTCTGCGCCGGATGTCCGGCGGCCCGGGAGCCCTGCGCCATGACCCGGTCTTGGCGGCGAAGTTGCTGCTACTGATGGGCAGCTGGCTGGAGCTGACGGCCGGTGATGGGTCGGCCCCGGGGGCCTGCCTGGCCGGGGGGGCCCCCGCGTCGGCGGTCGCCTCGTCCGGCGGGCTGCTGACCTTCGGCCCGGCGGGGAGCCCCGTTGCCGGGCCCGACCGCCGGCACTTTGGGGCCTGGCTGGCCCTGCTGGCCGGGCTGGTCCTGCCGGCGGTGGCGGCGCACGATGCCAGCGGCCGTGCCGGCCTGGCGACCCTGCTCCACGGCCAGGCCTGGCCGCTGGTGCTGGCTCGTCTCGGCGGCGAGGAGCGCTTCCGGGTGTATGGGGCCTGGCAGCGGGCGGCCCGGTCGTGCGTGGCCACGCGCGAGATCGGCGCCCGCGTGGAGCTGGTTCTCCGGCGCCTGTCCAACCGGGTGTCCGTGGACAATGTCCACCAAAGCATGGGGCTGCAAATTGCCCGAGTGGTGGCGGCCGACCCGCTGCACACCCTGGGCCGGGTGGTGGCCAGTGTCCAGTCCTACCGGCACATGGTGCCGATCTTCGTGGCGGCCCTCGGCGAGGCGCACGCCCTGGCGGTGGATGTGCTGCTGTTCCTGGCGCTGGGCCAGGCGGCGGCGCCGCACCGCCGGCGCGTGGCCGCCGCCTCGGCCGACACCCTGGAGCCCTGGCTGCCGGCGCTGGGGAGCTTCCTGGCCGGGACCCTGGCCGGGGCTCTGACCGCGCCGGGGGTGCCACCGGCGCTGGCCGCCGCCGGGGCCGCCGCGCGCCTGGCCTCGGCGGCGCACGCGCGTGCCCTGCTGGCCGGCGATGGGGCCCCGGGCCCGGGGCTGCCCCCGGTCCCGGTGGTCTACCACCCGGCCCTGGAGATGCTGGTGCACTATGTGGCCCGCCAGGTGCAGGCCGGTGTCTGTCCGGATGCCCTGCTGCTGGCGGACCTGTCGCGGGCCTTCGGCGGGTCGCATTTGGCCGAGCAGTCCCCCATGCCGGATGTGGTGGCCTTTGCGGCGGCCGTGCGGAGCATGCGCCGCGCGGCCGCGGCCCGGGCCCCGGCTGCCGAGGACCACCTGTCGCCGGCGGCGCGGCACTTTGCCCCGACGGCCCTGCTGGCCTCGCCGCGCGTCACCGCCGCCTGTCACTTCGGCCTGCTGGATGAGGCCATGGCGGCGGCCCGGGCCGGGCGGCCCTTCCGCCCGGGCGCTGCCCCCTGGCTCCGGCCGCTGGTGGCCGACCTGTCGGCCGTGCCGGACCGCGAGCTGTCCATGATGTGTGCCTGGGCCGCGGCCGGGGGCCCGGTTTTGCGGCTGCTCCTCCGCCGGCCCGAGGCATTCGGCCTGCTGACGCACTCGCTGGCCCGTGGCCCGGCCGAGTCCGGGCCGGAGCCCGGGGCCGAGCCGGGGGCCGAGTCCGGCCGACCGGCAGCCACCGAGGCGCAGTTGGCCGACCCGCCGGCGGCGGTGGCCCTGCTCACGGAGGACCCGCTGCCCCATCCGGAGCTGGCGGCGGTCCTGTGCCGGGCGCTGCTGGCCTCCGGCCAGGCCGGTGCCCTGTTGGCCTTCCTCCGGCGCCATGCATCCAATGCGCCCTTCATGGTGGACCCCGACTCGCAGGCCGGCTTCGGGCCGCTGACGTACGGGGCCTTCGGCGATGATGACGATGTGGCCCAATCGCCGGCCGAGCTGGCCGCCGAGGCGGAGGTCGGGCCGCTGGCCCCGGCCACCGGTCAGGCCATTGCCTCGCGCTCCGGGGCCGCCACCCGGGCGGCCCGGCTGTGGGCCCAGATCGCCGGCTTCATTGAGCAGTGGGGCGGGTCGATGGATGCCCAGGTGGCCGGTGACCGGGCGGCAGCCGGGGCCCCGGTCGACCGGTGCCTGGGCTGCCCGTTCCTGGCCCTGCCGCCGGTTGAGCAGCTGGTCGGGGAGTTCGGCCTGCGCCTGGCCGACGCGCTGTATGTCCTGCGCCCGGCCATTCGGTGGGCCGTGGCCACCACCAACATCCCCCTGGTCTTCCTGCACATGGCCAATGGGTCCCTGCTGAAGCTCAACCCGAAGATCCGCCTGGAGAGCCTCATCGGCGACGCGCGTGCCCGGGAGTTCCGCCAGCTGGACCTGGTGCGTTGGCCGGGTATTCCTTTCTTTGCCTGTGGTCGGGGCTGCCCCCCTGCCGGGGAAGTGGCCCCTGGGCGGGGGCGGGGGTCTGGCTTCGGGCCGGCCTCTGCGCCGGTGTTGCCTGCTTGTCCGTTCCCTTGTCCCTTGCTCGCGTTTGACTGACTCCCCCCCCCCC